GGTGAACATTTTGTGGGTATCTGCCATGCTCCAGGCACTCTCTGAGGCTCTGGGGATTTAAACATGTTGCCTGTTGTTCTGAAAATTAGGATCATGTGTTTAAATGATCATTTTGATCAAATAAACGCGACCACAGTTAATGACTAATATTTTCTTCTTATTTAAGATAAGAATTGAGGTTCAGTATTAAGAAACTGATAAGTGCACAAAATTACCTAACAAACCTTTTATGGAGCAAACTTGGGAATGAATAAAATGAATGGATGAATAAATAACATTTTTCAAAACAAGAGACAAAGATACTACTAACAGTATAGAATTATTTTGCATTAATGTTATATACTTCAAAATTATATGCACCTACAAGACAATTATTCTTTTTATAGACCAAATAGATATCTGAAATAATATTTAATTATTATAATAATGTGGGCCAATGAGATAGGAATTATCTTGCAGTTATTATTTTGATTTTTACTCTGTCAGGTTTAGTCACATGTTTATTTATTTAATTTTATGCTGATTATAATGTCTGCATATATAGACTCATGCTTTAAAATGAACACCCTGATGCAACTTTTAAATTTATTCCAAGCAAAAGTAGACTAAGTAACACATCAACTCATTTTACAAAACTCCCAGGTGCAAGCTTTTATTTCCATTCTCTCCACATCTGATATAAATCTCCCCGGCCTGCGGAGGGGCCAGATGCTCAGGGAAAAAGGCTTTCATAAGGTCTGCTCCACAGCCTGCCGTTGGAGATGCAAAATGAAGATTGAGAGGAGGATGCTTCCTAAAGTTGAAAAACATACTGCAACTTTATACTTGTTTGCTTGCACCCTGGGAATATATGAGCTATCTCACCTGACATTATGAAAGACACTGCATGAATATTGACGACAAGCGAGGCTAACTTCATCCCTGCAACATGTCATGTTTCCAAAACCCAGTAAGAGAAATATGCATTCCTTAAAAGGGATCCTTGTAAATAACATCCCCTGCTTTGCCAAGGGCCTCTCTCTCCTCCGTGCACATTTGCTGATCGCATCCATGTGAGAGAAACTACAGGCACTGGACGTGGAAGAATGGTCCCCCCACGCCAGTGCAGCGGGGGAGACAGCTGGTGATTTAGAGCCCCTGACTGGGCAGGAGCCTGCTGTAACTTGGATTTCCAAAGGAGATGATGCTCACAGATACCAGCCTGAGAACAGGCTGCAATGGCTCATGGTTTCCCCTGTCAAACATTCATGTTAGAACATCTCTCTAACGCCTTTACTGAAAAGACACTGGAAAATCATTTTGAAATACAGGGGCCGAATTGGACAGGGATTAAATAAACTGGGCAAGTTCTTCACACATTTTTAATTTTTTAAATGACCCTCAATTGGATTCAATCCAAGACACATTTATTGAGCATTGATTGCGCTCAAGGACTCATCTTCATAAAACTTTTGACTATTAACTATCAACAAATGAACATCTTTCAATGTGGGATAGTGGATCAAACAATGAATTCATTTATGTCTCAACAAGATAAAATAAGGCTTTTCACAGATCTTCCTGTCACAGATCACAAATCACTCCAGCAATAGGTTTCCATCAAAGCAGCCAGCTCTGATCACAGGTATGACTACAGGTGTAAAGAATGTTCTGATATCAAACACTGGTTGCACAGATGAGAGTTTCCTTTCGACTGGATAACTTTACAATGGATGAAGGGGTAACTTTTGACTTTTTACTCTAAGAACCAAATTTTAATTTATGACATTTCTTGATATTCCTTGCATTTAATCTATGTGATCTGTGTGTAAAGACAACCATGGATGCAATTGACCAAGAGTTATAGTTAGAATGGTTAAGAGAGAATTGTAAACTCTTAGATACAACGGGAGTGTTTTCTAATTGAATTGAGAACTTCATGGAGGAAAATTTTTTGAGTAAAATATCTAAAAACTTTGGATCAACTGAGATAGTAAGCACATGTTTCATTTGCTATTTATTTTCTTTCCTTTTTCCAATCTTCCTCCCCCCCTTTTAAATTTGAAATCCTTTGGAAACAGCTAACACTTAAATTTTAAATTACTTTTATTGTATAGAAGGGGATTTTAGAAAAATTTAGTTTACATATACAGTTTACACATTTCTGCTGTCCATTATTTCTCAAATTTGCTTTTCTTTATAGTTTCAATTCTCTCCAAAGCTTTAGTAAATAAATATTTAGAAGCAGACCTAATTGGAAATAAGTGAGCTCATAGTTATATCTGTTATTCCTGTCATATCTCTGGTAGCTGCCAGAATATTTTATAAATGGCCACAGATAACCAGTTTTGTGGGCTTGCCTTACTGCACGGTACATAAATCAACGCTGATTTAACTCAGTAATTTTGCCTTTGAATTCAGGACTTGGTGCACACACATACACTTGGTGCGTACACTTTATGTCCTGTGGAGTTTAAAAGAGCGGTGTTTAATAACACTTGAATGTCTCATGATTAGTCTTTAAAATGGGTTTTGGTTCTGTCTTTCTCATTAGCATTGAGAACCATTTCTGTGTATTTTTTCCCCATTTAAAAATATCAAGAGAGAGCAATGTTGTGGTGGACAATATTGATTTAACAGATAAGCATAATCAATTTGTTTTAGCTGAAGCAATAAGTTCTTCAATTGAAGGATAACAAATATCTCCTTGTTTTCTGAAATCTATCTGTAGCGTTACATATAACTTTGACCTCATAAGGAAGAATCACTCTCTGGTACATTAACCCAGAAAGCTGCTCTACCTTCCTTTGAGAGCAGGTAACAGTGTTATCCAGAGGAATTAAGCAAGGTTTTGAAAAGACAAATCCTAAAGAAGGGGGTGAAAATGACGAGAACCGCATGCTTCTCGTCAATACAGCTGCAGGTTGCATCTGTCCCACAGGCAAAACAAGAGGTGAATAAAAACAAAATAGTGAATAGAGTGTGAAAATATAAAGAAGTCAACAACATAAACTGATGAACAAAAATAGATCCAGAGACATAAAAACATTGAACATTTCATCAAACCTCAGAGGGAAAGCAGAGAATGATGGGAGTTGGGGAGGGAGGAGTGTGTAAGAGATTAACCAAAGAACTTGTATGCATATAGCTATAACCAATGGACACAGACAATAGGGGAGTGAAGGCCTGAGATTGGGGTAGGGGCAGGCTGGGAGAGGACAATGAGGGATAAAAGGACATACACTGAATGGCCAGATTATTATGATCTCTGAACGCATAATAATCTGGCCATTCAGTATATATCTTATATAATAAAAGGCTAATATGCAAATTGTCCCCTTGACCAGGAGTTCAACCAGCAGGCAGGCCGGCCAACTGCCCATGTCCCCTCACCCTTGCCAGGCTATCGGGACCCCACCCATGCATGAATTCATGCACTGGGCCTCTAATATATATACTGAGTGACCAGATTATTATGTGTTCAGAGATAATAGTTATCTGGCTACTCAGTGTATGTAATACTTTCAACACTAAGAATTTTTTTAATTAAGTACAAATTAGCAGGTACTGAATAGTCATGTGGATGTAAAATACAGCATAGGAAATATAAACAATAATATTATAATAACAATGAATGGTGAAAGATGGCACTAGATTTACTGAGATGATCACTTTATAAGCTATATAAATGTCCAGTCACTGGTTGTGCACCTGAAACAATACTGTACCTCAACTCTAATTGAGAAATGAAAAAAATATTATTCAAAAAAAGAAAGAAAATATAAAGAACTCAAATCACAGAGAGCTTTCTTTTCTTTTGATTTAACCCCAGGAAATCCATAAAAACTCTCACAAACGTGCATATCATTTCAGCCAGTGAATTGCTACTGTGGTTGGGGAAGTAGTGTTTCCATAAAAAAGAAAGAAAAACTTAAACTATTTGGAGTACTAGAACCTTCAGGGTTTTATCCAGATGGTGAACGGGCAGAGGTGAAGTGAGCTAGGAGCACGAATTCAACTAAAGGACAAATCATAGAAACCTGAGCGAAAGGGTGTCTGTGAGCTGTTTTGAGCCGGTCCAGCCAGTGGTGGCCACGGGCAGAGCAATTCCAATTTGGGGAAAAGAATTTTTGTTTTCCTCCTGCCTCTCATCCAGGATCCTCTGGGACAACTCCTGTCTGCTCCTTCCCTGTTCAGAACACAAAGTCCACCTACTCAGGTGAAGAATTGAGGAGGAGACTTGCCAGATTACAGTCGTGCATCCACCCTCTTTCCTCTCAAACCCAAATTTGATGGGTTTTAATGAAGGAAAATGCCCCTTCCCAGGGTTTTTCTTCCGAAGAGTTTAGGGGATGAAATTCTGACCAGAGAAATCACATTATAAAGTTCTCTGAACAATTATTTCTGTAGAATCAGAAATGCCTTAAAATTTATCAACCATGTTGTCACTAGACCTTTTTTTCAACTGAGTTAACCGGAGTTACCTTCTATAACTCAACTTCTTGGGGTTATTATTAAGCTCTTCCCTGAAAACTTTCTCATCATCCTTTAGGTCCTGGTGTACTGCGACGTTAGGAACTACATTAGGAACACTTGAGAGCTTCCTGTTTTTCACTCAGCAAATATCCCATATTTACCGTTGTAATGAAATGGGCATTTTGCTTTCTAAGAATAAAGCACAACCATACAGACAAAATTACATTGACTCTATTTGTCTTGAATAATGGAAAGTTATGAAAACTGACTACTGGCTTGGTTATAGGTCAAAAAACTGAACTAAAATGATGAGTTGAGAAAATAAAGAAGATGGAGCTTCTCTGGTCCCTAGTGAATTAAGCTGCTTTCAGATGATTTTTGAACCTACACCTATTAAATGAAAATCTCTGCTTGCACCAATAAGTCACTGCAATTCTTACTCAATGGGATTTGATCATCACAAAGAATGGAGAAAGGTCATTTAACTCCCTTTACTTCTCCTCAGTGTACTTTGTGTGAAATCACAGCTTTGATGGAAACGTTACCTTGACAGTGAAGCGTTTTCTCTTAGGTGGATTCCAAACCATGCCAGTCGAATGAATGAATGCACGCAAAGGGGTTAAGGATGTCACCAACACGTATGCTTTAAGAATCACAGATAGATCTTCGGCTCTAAAGATGGTCTCATGTGGAGCAAGGACTGTTGTTTGATCCCTAAAAAGTAAAGCAACGCAGTTAAAGTCCCACAATGTAGCGTGAGGATGTCACTTGTAAATTATCACAAAGCTTCGTACACTCATCTGTCCTTTGTTGGACCCCAGCTTTCAGTGTGGGAGTTTCCTCAAACGATTTAACTGTTTATTAGCATCACTTCCAGGGGATATACAGGTACACAGAAAAGGGATCAAATTAATAAGAATTCTACACTCAGGCAGAATTCATAAAAATATTTTTTAAAAGAATAAAAGGTCTGCTGAAACCAGTTTAGTTCAGTGGATAGAGCGTCAGTCTGTGGACTGAAAGGTCCCAGGTTCAATTCCAGTCAAGGGCATGTACTTGGCTGTGGGCACATCCCTGTAGGGGTTGTGCAGGAGGCAGCTGGTCAATGTTTCTCTCTCATCGATGTTTCTAGCTCTCTATCCCTCTCCCTTCCTCTCTGTGGAAAATCAATAAAATATATTTTTAAAAAATAAAAGAAAGAAAGGTCTGAAAACAGTACCTAAAATAAGGTTTAAAGATTTAAAAAAAATTAATTAGTCACATATGGATCCATAGTAACTAATTAGAATGGCTTCGTACATAGTGATACAAATTACAGATTAGGGGAGAGTGAAACCCCTGAAATGTTCTGGCTCTGCCCTTACCTGCCTTTACTTTATCTTTTCCGAAACTAGAAAAGATGTTAAATTTCTCAGTAGTGGGCACCTCACCAAAATATGCCAAAATCTTTTCCCCACTAGTTTGTTTCTACTTAATAACCCTCACCACAAATATTTAGGAGTTAAGGGATAAAGCACCAGGAAAATAGTTTAGTCTAAAAGGAAACATAACACTAATTTAATATTTTATGATAAATAACTGTATTCTTATCATAAATGGTACCAAAATGTATAACTACTTGTTTTTCTCTACCATGTTTCTATATTCAAAATATCTAAGCAAAAGACTCAAGTGATTCTTGGATGAATACTATTAACTTTGGAAATACTAGTTAATAATTTTAAAATCAGACAGGAAAAACTATGTTGTGTTGGAGATAAGATTATTAAAATCTCTTAATTTATCTACTTTACAAATCACTTTTCTAGAAGTAGTAAGGCACTCCAAGTTGCTTCCTTAGATCCTGAAAGCCATAAAAAAAAAATAACTAGAAAAAAATTTCATTACTCATAGACTAAGGCAATGTCCTCTGAGCATAAAATGGAAGTTAAAATTTTATAGTTTCCCATTTTCAAGCTTTTAAATTCAACTTACATTAATGTAACTTCCCAAATAAGAGTACCATTTACCCAAATGTTTATTCTGTGGCAGGAGAGGTTTGAATTACTCAGAAGAAAGTCAATGATGGCATTCTTTTACTGGCCAGTGTTGCTCAGTGGTTGAGCATTGGCCTATGAACCAGGAGGTCACAGTTCAATTCCAGGTCAGGGCACATGCCCAAGTCTCTGGCTTGATCCCCAGTAGGGGGTGTGTAGGAGACAGCCTATCAGCGATACTCTCTCATCATTGGCATTTCTATCTCTCTCCTTCTCTCTTCCCCTCTAAAATTATATATATATATATATATATATATATATATATATATATATATATATATATATATATATATATATATATATATATGAGGGTTATTTTTTAAAGAGATAACCAAAAATTGTATATTGGCCATAATATCTCAAATGGTTAGCTTACAGTTGTTCACGTCTCCAGGCCCATGGTTTCCACACATGCGGCTTCACGGCTTTTGAAAGGTGACTCCAAGAACTCAGCTTGAATTGTGTGCTTTGATCCAAACACACAGAGGGACTCACCGGAAGTTGCAGTTCTAAAAGATTCAAAAGAGCAAGACGGTCATTCGATTGCTTCCTTTTAGAATGGTTTCCATAACAGAGTCTGTATTAAATTACTTTGCTTATGTAGTATGTTCCCCTTCCACAGACTAGGAAGACAAGTGTAATAACTGAATTCAAATTTTCTTGCGCAGAAGGGGAGGTAAATAGGATGTTTCCCACTGTTGAACCAAGCACACCTATCTGCCACCCGGATGAGAGATGCTGAGTGGGAAGGTACCAGAGGAGCTGACTTTGTTTGCCATGAGAATTCACATAGACAACTTGAGTTGATTCCCTGATAATACAATCCTTTTGTACTAGAGTTTATCACACCTCATGACCTAACAACAGTGCTTTATTATTTTGTAAAGTATTATTTCCTGGGTTTTTTTTTTTTTGCATTATATAAAAGTAAAGACCAATAGCAGTAACTTTCTTCAAAACACTCATATTGATATTTTAAAAAAATAGATTTATATAATTTTTAAAATAAAATTGTACAGAAAGCTATCAAATGGAAAGAAAAGGCATCCAGTAATCCACCCCCAGCTAGGACCTCTCTCCTTTACAACAAAGTCAAAGCTTACATATGCACTTTACCGTCTAGATAAGCAAAAAATAGGTTAGATGCACATGGTTCTTTGATATATAAATTGACATAAATATCAATGTATCTACCCAATCTATACATGTAGATACAGATGGTCCCTGACTTATGATTTTTCAACTTTACGATAGTACAAAGGCAATATATATTCAGTAGAAACCATACCTCAGATTTTGAATGTTGATGTTTCCCTGGGTTAGAGACATATGGTACATTCAATACTGTCTTATGATGCTGGCAGTGGCAGCTGCCTGCAGCTCCGAGTTGGCCCCACCATCACTGTACTCTGAACAACCAATACCCCCCAGTGGATTCATTGTTAGATGATTTTGCCCAACTGTAGGCTAATGTAAGTGTTCTGAGTACATTTAAAGTGCTAGGCTAGACTAAGCTATGATGTCCAGTAGATTAGATGGATTAAATACATATTCAATTTATGATGGGTTTATCAGAAACTAACTCCATCTGAAGTTGAGGTGCATCTATATTTCTGCTTTTTAAGTTATCCAAAAGAGACATTACAAGGTTCCATCTGGCTTATTTACCTACTAATCCATCCTGGAGTCCTTCGAACATAAGCAAATACAGAATCATCTTATATTTCTTATTGACTTAAAGTGTTTCATTAAATGAATATACATTTAATTTAACCATCCCCTTCTTTGTTGTATATTTAGATTATTTTTGTAACATTCCTCTTTTACTATTTCAAAAATACTGCCACGAATGCTGTCACACATGTGTTTTGGTGTACTTTTATAAGTTTACCTAGGGGCAATTCTAGTCTGCATGCATCATCGCCAGGTCAATGGGTAAATGCATTATAAACATGATAGACATTACTAAATGGACTTCCAAAAAGGTGGCCTCAATTCCCATCCTCTTCAACAGCATATGAGAGTTGTTACCTTACTGCTGGGTCACAGCGCTTTATTGTTAAATTATACAATTTATCTAGCTCTCAAAATGGAACAAAGCCTTTAAATTATTTCCCCCCTGTGCATGTTTCATCAATACTGACATGGTCTAATTTAAAACACTTCACACTCTTAAGTAAAAGTCAGCAGAAGTCAAGCTGTTCAATGTATTCTCATATCTCATTACTTAGTACAGTATGATCTTTCTTAAAGCTGATAGCCTATTTATAAGGCTGCCCTATTAATGATGTTCTAACACATCTTAATAAAGGAAATACCCAAATTGCTTGTTTCTGGAGGTGACAAATGAGCCATTAAGATAATTTCTTTCTTGGGAATCAGACTTTTAAAAAGTTGAAGTGTTTATATAATCCTTTAGATTTTTAATAAGAAAGTGTGTGTGTGTGTGTGTGTGTGTGTGAGTGTGTGCATGTATCACTAAACTTAATTTTTTAGGTTAAATTTACAGGAAGAAGATACATGTTCTTTTTTTTTTAAAAATAGTTTATTACTAGGAAAATTTTTGTCTCTCCCAAAACATTAATTTATTGCCTTCTTTTTATAATAAGAGAACAGTGTAATTTACTCTGATTTCCCTTTACATTTGCTGCCAAGAAGTAAAGCACTGATTAGAAGCCCAAGCAGAACTGACCTTAAAGAAACAAGACATATTAAGTCTTTCATTTAGGTAGTAGCTCAATAATTTTGAGAAAATAGTAAGCAAATATGTCAAAACAGTAAACAATTTTGTGTCCTTTTTTTTTTTTAAGTTAATCTAGTGGACCCTATGCCATGTAATTAAAGGAATTTTATATAAGAATCGCAAAGAATATTTCCGATTTCCACAGCAGCAACACAGCCATTGAAACTGTGGTTGCACAATGGAACTGAATCTTGATAAAGTAGTTTTTACCCTTTGTGTGATTTCATATATATATATATATATATATATATATATATATATATATATATATATATGACTTGCCATAATATTATTCCAGGTTTCGATGTTATTTTTAATGATTCAAAACAAACAAACAAAAATCTGTAATTACATGTCACCTTATATCTAAAAGCATTCCCATTTCCCTTGATTATAGCCAAAAATTAAAAATACACTTTATTGCCGAAAATGGTTTGGCTCAGTGGTAGAGCGTCAGTCTGTGGAACTGAAAGGTCCCAGGTTCGATTCCGGTCCAGGGCATGTATGTTGGTTGTGGGCACATCCCCAGTAGGGGATGTGCAAGAAGCAGCTGGTCGATGTTTCTCTTTCATCAATGTTTCTAGCTCTCTATCTCTCTCCCTTCCTCTCTGTAAAAATATCAATAAAATATATTTTTAAAATACATTTTATTAAGACCTTTAAAAAACTGCAACTGCACTTCATAGAGCTTTAATAAATAGTTATGGGAACTTTAAGTACCCTAGGTTCTTATTTCACAAGACAAAGGTTTGCCAGCAGTCACTATTCCTATGTCTCTCATTTGGCATATCTACCAAGGGCTCTCTCAAGACACCAGTCCAATCTACTTGTTTAAATACGCCCTTCTCCCTTGGATATATACAAAGAGCCTAGAAAGCTATAAATAATGCCAAAGCTAGCTTTTCTTTTTGGAAAGAATTGGGGAGATGAGTTTCTTTTTCTTTCTTTCTGTGTTTATGAAATAACAGTGATAATACAAGTTTATTTGAAGATTAATGTTTTCAAAACACCTTGTACCTGAAACTGTACCATATCCTATATTAAAATATGGCATTTCCTCTAAAAACACATCCCTTATTGCCCTCCAGCTCCCCATTCATGCCCTTCCCCCCTCCACCCTATCCCCTGTGTCTGTGTCTATTGGTTAGGCTTATATAAATGCATACATGTCCTTTAGTTGATCTTTACCCCTTACTCCTATCCTCCCCTACTTCCCTCTGAGGATTGACAGTCTAATCAATGCTGCTCTGTCTCTGGATCTATTTTTGTTTATCAGTTTATGCTGTTCATTATATTCCACAAATGAGTGAGATCACTGATATTTATCTTTCTCTGACTGGCTTATTTCACTTAGCATAATGCTATCCAGTTCCATCCATGCTGTTGCAAATGGTAAGAATTCCATGAGTTTTTACGATACAAACAGTTTTCAAATGGCCTTCTAATTCATTAACACGTGTTTATTAAAATTTTTTAGAAAGTAATTAAATATGGAGGGCCTAACATGTGTCTTTAGAATTTTCCTATACCATAATATTTAGACTGAATGGATAGCAAATACGGATGTGAAATATTATATAAACTTTTATTTATTGACTACTCAGCTTATTTTAAAGATCTCTGAAGCATATAAATTTACCATTTACCCAGAATAAAAATAAACAATAGGTTAGGGACATCTGAAGACCGCTTTTATTGTGCCTTCTAATGTCTGGCTTGCCAGGCACTGAGGGCCTACTGACTTTGGTGAAATTTTATGAAAAGAAAGATTAAACCAGAACCACAGAACTGGGTTTTCAGTTTGATTCTTAACAACCAGAGCTTAATGGGCATGCGACTTTGTCAACAAGTCTTTTAGACTCCAGCGCGTAATTCACATTAATTTTCTGAACGTCCCACATCACTAAACACAATGCTTATATAAAAGAAGTACTCAGCAAGTGCTTGTTCTAGCATGCCAGAGGGCAGTTAAAACAAAATGATATTCACATGTGTTAAAATATTTATTTGGTTATTTATTTTTCCTTTCTATGAAACATATAATTATGTACATCACAAGCAAAGACTAAACACTGCAAAAGATTAGCTTGTACTAGCAAAGATTAGCTGCCAAATTTCTACTGTATTTGATTTACTCTTTTGTCCCAAAGTTAATAATTAATAGGAAAGAAATAGTGAAAACATAATTATATTTCACAAATATTTGAATATTGTTTTGAATTTAGTATTAGGAAGCTAAACCTAGCCAGTATTTTCTTGTTTTAAAACTTCCAGAGGGAGAGAAGGCAAAAATGGTGGCCAAATAGGCAGACCTGTCATGCACATCATACTCAATGGGCAAAAACTAAAATCATTTCCCCTAAGAACAGGAATAAGACAGGGATGTCTGCTTTCACCTCTCTTATTCAGCATAGTTCTAGAAGTCCTAGCCATAGGGATCAGACAAGAAGAAAAAAAAAAAATAAAAGGCATCTGAATTGGAAAGGAGGAAGTAAAACTGTCATTATTCGTAGATGACATGTTATTGTACATAGGAAACACTAAGCACATCATTAACACTATGTTCATACTACCCGAAGCAATCTATAGATTCAGTGCAATCCCTATTAAAATACCAATGGCATATTTCACAGATCTAAAACAAACACTCCAAAAATTTATATGGAACCAAAAAATACCCCAAATAGCCACAGTAATCTTGAGAAAGAAGAACGAAGTTAGAGGAATCACAATACCAGTTATCAAGTTATACTTCAAAGCCACTGT